TGCCTGAACCCAGGAGGCAGAGGTTGCGGTGAGCCGAGATCGCGCTATTGCATTCCAGCCTGGGTAATAAGAGCGAAACTCTGTCTCAAAAAACAAACAAACAAATAAAATAAATTTTAGTTTCACTATACTTGGCTTGATTATTTGCATAAAGTGCAGCAAGAATAATCATTTGCCATGCAGGCTCTCTCTTTTTCTTTATAAAATTGGCTTTGCTGGAAGCTTTTCATAAGGCATCTAAGATTCGAGCTTTTTGAAAGCCTTGAGCCCAGCTAAGAATTCACTGTGCCTGCAGATACCTGTGTGAATTGGGTGAATTCCTTCTTTTTCAAGGTGTCAAGAAAACTCGAGTTTCCTGGGCTTGTCAGAAAGTGACATTCTTTACTTACCACAGGTCAGGACCCTGCAAATAACAATGTATGATCCCAGTTTTTCCAAGGGGCTTTTATTGGCTTCATAGGTCAGCCTCATTTTCTCAAGGCAGTTTGAAAATGTCATTACAGTCGAAGCCTTGATAAAATCACCAGTGTCCCCAATTATGTCCTGTTATGAAAGAAAATAGATTCTTATTGAACTTATGCACAGAGCTGCATTGTCGTAAACTAAGGATATTCACCAAATAGTTTCCAAATTCTGAAACAATTGCAATTAGTTTGAAAGAAAGGAATTGTTTTAAATTTTTCGTATTAGAGTATACTTTACTCAATTGTTAAAAGCTGTAAATAGCTTAAAAGAAGGGAAAACTTTCTGGACTCTAGAAAACAAAACAGAAAGAATCAGCAAATGTTTGAGACATAAAGTCATAAAAGATTATTTCAGTCTTCTGCTAGTTCAGTCCATGCAATTAATTCCTGTTCTGCTTTATATTGAATCAGCAGTCCTCCTGAATACAAAGCTCTCTATGAGAGTCCTGGGAGTTTTCCTTCTTTTTATTCCAATGGCATATTTTCTGAAGTTATTAGAAACCTATATTTAAGAGTACTCCTCAGAGATCTATAGCTGATTATAAACCACCCTATAAAAGGATGAAGTAAAACAATCATGGATGATGACAGTCTTAGAACAGCTACAGGTAAAGACACAAATGGCAAGCAAAGTTGGTTACTTCTGTGGCATACAACAGTTTTACATAATAATTATAATTATTACTGATAACATATACTAAGACATCTCAGAGTCTCAGAATCTCACATAATTTTGGAACACATACTAATAACACACATATATATAAATATAATCAGGCCAGGCCCAGTGGCTGATTATATTTCACAAGGCTCACACTTGTGATCTCAGCACTTTGGGAGGTCAAGGAGGGTGGATCACTGTAGGGCAGGAGTTTGAGACCATCCTGGCCAACATAGTGAATCCCCTCTCTGTTATAAATACAAAAAGTAGCCAGGCATGGTGGCGCACACATGTAGTCCCAGCTACTCTGGAGGCTGAGGCAGGAGAATTGTTTGAACCCAGGAGGCAGAGGTTGAGTGAGCCAAGATCGTGCCACTGCATTCCCGTCTGCCTGACAGAGTGAGTGAGACTCTGTCTCTAAATAAATAAATAAAATCCAAAGAAGCTTAAACACCATTTTATATTTGACAATGCCTCTTGTATGATTTTGTTATACCAAATAAGCTGAATATGTCTCTTTTGGACTTCAGGGGACCTAATATCAAAACAGTAATGAGGCCAAAAGGATTGAATTTATCATTTGATTTTGGAAAGTCTGTCAGATATTAAAAGTTTAAAATTCTTGGTGTCACAAAATACAATCACAAGTCTTGTAAAATTATTTAGCTAACTCTTTGAAACTCAAATATTAAAAAAAAAGGCAAAAACTTTTATTCTTTGAGAAAGGAAACTTACATTACCAAGTAAGCCCTAATAAAGACAGCATGAGGCAATTAAATCTGTCTCTCAAATTTTATAAACAAATTTTTAAATTTTATTTTGTTGTTGTTTTGCTTTTGTGTTTTTTCTTTCTTTCTTTCTTTCTTTCTTTTTTTTTTTTTTGAGACAACCTCTTTCTCTGTTGTCCAGGCTGGAATGCAGTGGCATGATGTCATCTCACTGCAACCTCCACTTCCTGGGCTCAAATGATCCTCCTGTCTTAGCCTCCCAAGTAGTTAGTTCTCAGTAGCTGGGACTACAAGTATGTGCCACCCACCAGGCTAAACCATTACATTTTAATCATCTTGTTCATAAGATATAATTTCTATAAACCTTTTAATACACTTTCATAATTTTGTTTAAATTAAAGAGTGGGTTAAAGCTTTAAGAAAACCTTGTTAATCTGACACAGGGGCTTTTTTGGATTTAATAGAAATGGAGTTTCACCACATTAGTCAGGATGATCTTGCTCTCCTGACCTTGATCTGCCCACCTTCGCCTCTCAAAGTGTTGAAATTACAGGTGTGAGCCACTGTGCCCAGCCTATTCTAACTCTTAGTAACCCTACTTCCAGTAAAAAATCTAGGATTACTTAGTTTAACATAACATGACTTTAAGACTTTAAATTATTGGAAATAATTTTGAGACTATATTTACCAAATTAATCTTACTAAAGATTACTAAAGTCATGTGAACTGAAAAGCCTCTGAACTAGTTTGTATTAGTCTGATAAATGCTTACTTTTCTTTAGGCCAATTAATTAGAGCTCTTTTATATAATTGGTGGTGAAATATTATTTCCACATGCTTTATATAAACATATAGGCATAACAGACTGGGACGGAGATCTTGAAGGCAACAGAGAAACAAAGTCATTTTCTTTTTCTTTTTTTTTGCAGCTGTGAGGAAATTTAGCTAATTATGGTCCTCATTCCCATAATTTGTAATTCTCATTCAGATTTGGCCAAGTCAGGTAAAGGTGGTTAAATCTGATGAGAGAAAGGCTGAAACAACGACAATAACAAACCAAAGAACGTAATTACTGAGCGCTCCAATGGTAAAGAGGAATTAAGATCAACTGGTTGTCAGTCTTAACTTTTAGTCATTAAGGAGAATTTTCAAGACAAAACCCCAATTCAGCTACTTACTAGGAGTGGGGCCCAGGCTCACGACTGCTTTCTACCATTTTAGGAGCAGAAAAAAAACTCAAACTTGCCTTCCCTGTTGGAAGTAAACCAAAAATCCAGAAAGGAGTTGCCTGCAGTCCATCAACATGGAAATAGGAAAACTCACTTTCCTTGTTGAAAGTGAGTAAAACTCCAGAAAAGGAGTTGTACAGCAAAATAAACCTTAGATCTCAACCAAATTTGGGGAGATCAGTGATTCTCTGTAGGGGAAAGCTCTGCAGCTCAGCAAACTGTCCCACTGATTTGAGCAATAAAGGGAGTTCAAGCTGGTACCCAGCACTGATAGATTTGTCAGAGGTCAGGGCCATCTCCCTTCAGAGTCCCTACTGTTGGTCACCAATTTGTAAACCAAAAAGTATCTGAGACAGGTCTCAATCAGTTTAGAAGTTTAGTTTGCGAAGGTTAAGGACATACCCAGAACAAATAAACACGGAATCACAGGACGTCTGCTGTCTGTGCCGTCCTTCAAAGATGACTTCAAGAGCTTCAGTATTTGAAGGTGAAAAGTGGGCTGGCAGGGGAAAGAGGGAGCATGTGATAGTCCACGTGTTGCAAGAGAAAAGAAGCAGGTAGGGGAATAGTCAGTTGTGTATTTGTCTTGTGGTCAGTAAATCAGCACTTTACATAAGATGGTGAACATAGAGTGGCTACCTGTGGTGATGTTTAACCTTTTGTTTGTAGCTGTCTGCTTAGGAACAATAGGAAAGGCAGCTTCTTAAACGATAGCTTTCAGCTTAATTTTTTTTTCTTTAGACATAGTAAATTGGGACCCCATGTTTTATTTTTCTTTCACAGTGGAAAAGAACCCCTCTACACCTTGGGAGGCAAAGGTGGGCGGATCACCTGAGGTTGGGAGTTCGAGACCAGCCTGGCCAATATGTTGAAATCCAGTCTTTACTAAAAATACAAAAAATTAGCCAGTCATGGTGGCACATGCCTGTAGTCCCAGCTACTTGGGAGACCGAGGTGGGAGAATTGCTTGAACCCAGGAGTGGAGGTTGCAGTGAGCCAAGATTGTGCCACTGCACTGTAGCCTGGGTGTCACAGAGCAAGACTCCATGTCAAAAAAAAAAAAAAAAAAAAAAAAAGAACCCTTCTAGAAGGTGGAGTTATAGCCACAGCAAACAATGTGCTAGGGGTGGGGGTGGGAAGGTACCATGGATCAGAATTGAGGCCTAATCAAGGAACATTCCCACCCTGGTTGAGAGGACCCTTGCAACGTCTGCTGGGCAGGATTCCAAGAGTACCACGGACTAATGATGGCTGTTTGTGTCCCATTCTTTCCCCTTTCAAATGGGAGAGCTTATTGTAGGTATCCTGGGAGAATTCCCTTAGCATAATTAAGGACATGAATTAACCAAGATTCATGCCTGAATACACAGTCATGTCTCCTTGACTTGGTGATGGGCCAAGGCAACACCTACAAACGGGGTCTACATACGAATTACTCAAACCCAAAGAATGTTGAGGTCTGCCTCAAAACGCCAAAAACAGAGAATGATCTTAAAGATGGCCATGACAGTTATAGCTGGGATCATGATCTATTATTTTCGTATTACAAAAGTAATACATGAATGCATGCTTATTTTTTTAGAATGTAGGAAAACATCATAATACACAGAGTAAAAAGGGAAAATATCCTTTATTGCAGTCCATAACCTCTTCCTTACACAACCCCACTTATCTACCCATAGATGGCCACTGAAATTGTTCAGCAGAACTGATGATCTCTTAATGTGAGATAGAAAAAACATAACAAAAATAAAAATGGTTTTATAAGTGTATTGTGTATACATGTGTAATTAGGAAAGTGCTAGAAGAAATCAAATATTAATCATGGCATTCATTGAACTGTGAGATTACGGTTGTTATTTGCTTTCTTTCCTATGCTTTTCTACATTTTCTAATTTTCTTTTTCTTTTTGAGACAGTGTCTTGCTCTGACGCCCAGGATGGAGTGCAGTGAGTGGTGTGATCTCAGCTCACCGCAACCTCCGCCTCCAGGTTCAAGCAATTCTCTTGTCTCAAGCCTCCTGAATACATGGAATTACAGGTGCGCATCACCATGCCCAGCTGATCTTTTACTTTTAGTAGAGACGAAGTTTCAACATGTTGGTCAGGCTGGTCTCGAACTCCCGACCTTGTGATCTGTCCATCTTGGCATCCCAAAATGCCTTGCCTCATTTTCTAATTTTCTATATAAAATACTAATTTTATACTTATGTAGAGCAGGATTTATGTCCAATTCAACCGAAGGATTTTCAAGTCATTGCAGTAAAAAGTTCTATAAAACTTGTTAAAGAAAAGAATAATGAGGTAGGCCTACAAGACAGTCAACACAATAGGAACTGACAAGTAGGGGGTTTCACCAGTTTGGCCAGGCTGGTCTTGAACTCCTGACCTCAGGTGATCCACCTGCCTTGTCCTCCCAAAGAGCTGGGATTACAGGTATGAGCCACCACAGCTGGCCATGTGCCACCTCTTTTTTAAGAGGTTGTTTTACACCCAGGCTTATTATTGGGATCTACTGTTATGATCTGTCTTCCTAGCAGCCTTAGAAACATCTTCTTTAAATATTTTAAGAATTAATCCTGATCTCTAAAGAAAAAACACATTCCATTGTAGCAAGTGAGCTAGAGAATAATCTTCCGTATTTTGCAGTGTTGTCTTTATAGTCAGCCTAACCTTTCTGAAGAACTAACTAGATACTTAAAAAATCTTAAATGCCAGAGAAAATATTCTAATGTTTAAGCTTTACGTTTTTTAGGACTTCTTCTAGGTTTAAAAGGTGCTGAAATGTTTGATCCCTTTCATAGTTGATGGTTAATGTAGCATCTTGGAAACTGGTTGAAGAAGGAAAGAGAATCTCAAAAAAAAAAAAAAAAGAAGGAAAGAGAACTATCTTTTCTTTTGAGTGATGGACTTTTTAATTATGCTTTTTTCTTTTCCAAACTATTTTTTGCTATGCACATTGACAGGTAGGCAATGTTTCTGTAATATAATTGAGATATCATATTTATACCATTATTTGGAAAAGCCATCCGTATTTTAAAACTATATTGTTGGGCCAGGCGCGGTGGCTCATGCCTGTAATCCCAGCACTTTGGGAGGCTGAGGCAGGTGGATCATGAGGTCAAGAGATCAAGACCATCCTGGTCAATATGGTGAAACCCCGTCTCTACTGAAAATACAAAAAATTAGCTAGGCATGGTGGCACGTGCCTGTAATCCCAGCTACTCAGGAGGCCGAGGCAGGAGAATTGCCTGAACCCAGGAGGTGGAGGTAGTGGTGAGCCGAGATTGTGCCATTGCACTCCAGCCTGGGTAACAAGAGTGAAACTCCGTCTCAAAAAAAAACCATATTGTTACCAGAAAAGTATAAATAAAAATACGTCATGAAGTGCTAAAAAAATAAATAAATAAACCTCTGCTCCAAAAAAAAAAAGAACTTACAAGTAATTCAGTAAATAGCTATTCAATGCCAACACTGTTTTAGTAGTTAAGAAGAAAATGGTGATTAAGATGGGTAAGATCCCTCTTCTCATAGACATAAATATGTCATGAAGGAGGCAGATGATGAATAATACATTAGTAAGATAATTCAGGTAATATTTAATGCTATGAGGAAACTAAAGAAGGGCATGGAAATAGCATATGTTGTTAGGGAGTCACATCCATGAGGCAGGGCAGTCAAAGAAGGCCTCTCTGGGGTGTTTCAAGCTGAAACTTGGATGAGAAGGACCAACCCACTCAACCCTCTGCAGCCAGAGCATTCCAGGCAGAAGAAACAGCTGTTGCAAAAACCAAGGCAGGTATAGGCTTGGTTGATTCAGGGAGTGGGTCGGCTCAGCTGGTACAAATCTGTGAAGGCAAGTCCTGATACTAATGTGAACCTGTTGAATGTATGGTAGGGATTTTCTTGAGAGGAAAAAGTATGACCTATAAAATATTGACAAAGTTTTCAAATGTGGCAAGAGCAACTGCAGTGCTAAAATGGCATTGAAACCACACAGATGCTGGGCACGGTGGCTCACGTCTGTAATCCCAGCACTTTGGGAGGCTGAGTCGAGCGGATCACCTGAGGTCATGAGGTTGAGACCAGTCTGGTCAACAGGGTGAAACCCTGTCTCTACTAAAAATACAAAATTAGCTGAGCGTGGTGGCGCACACCTGTAGTCCTAGCTAGTGGGGAGGCTGAGGCAGGAGAATTGCTTGAACCAGGGAGGTAGAGGTTGCAGTGGGCAGAGATCATGCTACTGCTTTCCAGCCTGGGCAACAGAGTGAGACTCCATCTCAAAAAAGACCAAAACAAAACAAAAACCCACACAGAAAACCTACATAAGTATAAAAGTCAGTTTTTCATTTTCCTTTTTTTTGTTTGCTCATAATTTAAATGTAGATCCAGTGTCATGAATAGCTAAGACGCTTATAGTTGGTTACATTTTTTATTTTGAATTTTTGAGATGAGGCCTCTCTCTGTCACCCAGGTTGGAGTGTAGTGGTGCCATATGGCTCATTGCCACCTCAATATCCCCGGCTCAAGTGATCCTCCTGCCTTAGCCTCCCAAGTAGCTGGGACTACAGGTGCACACCACCACACCCAGCTTTTTTAAAAAAATTTCTTTTTAGTAGAGAGGAGTCTTAGATATGTTGCCCAAGGTGGTCTTGAACTCCTGAGCTCAAGGGATCCTCCTGACTAGGCCTCTTAAAGTACTGGGATTACAGGCATGAGCCACCACAGCTGGCCATAGTTAAACAATTTCAAGATGAGATCTCAAAGAGCTCTCTTCACTATGCCGATTAAGCCCTCTAAAAGTAACGCAGTATCAATACTGTGTTCTAGGCACCAGGTGCTGAGTCAGTGAGTAATAACGGTATAAGAGCTGAGTCGAGTCAGACATCTTAGCATACAGGCCATGTTGTGTGTGCGTTTGCTGGGGGTAGGGTGAGGTGACGTGTGTGTAGCCACGAATCCGGAAGGCCACAACAGTAGGGCTGGACATAAAACTGTGGTCAAGTGTGATCAGGTATGGAGCTAGAGCTGCCTTAGGTACCTCTGCTTCAAAGGATCCAGCTTCATTTTTAAAACAAGAGTAGGCTGTGCTTCAACAGCCTCATTTATGGAAGGTGGAGACAATGAGGGGCCTTGAAATTATGGCTTTGATCCTTCAGAAACTCCCAAACAAGGACTGGGTCCTGGTGGCAGCAGCAGACTCGGAGTGTGGCTGGCTTAGCTGAGAGAAGATGAATCATTTTAGGAAGATGGTGAGTGAATATGATGGAACAGAGATGTTCAGTTTAAACATAAGGGGGATCCTGACTTTTCGTAAAGTTTATTTATGAGCAGAACATTACCGAGATGTTTGAATTTCTTTTTTGTAAATTATATTTCACTTTTTGGTCTTTTAAATGTTTAATTATTTTTAAATTAATTCATATTTGTACATGGAACATGTGAAATTTTGATACATGTATACAATGTGATTTAATAAGATTAAATCAGGGTATTTAGGATATCCATCGTCTGGAACACTGATCATTTCTTATTTGAGGATAATTTATTGTTATTGCCTCGGTTTATAGAAGCAAATGTATTGTCATAGACAGAATAGAATCAATTGGAAAGTGCACTAGTTTTTCTTTTATTAACCATACCTATGTGGATTCTGGTGGCAGATACTACTAGTCACGTTTGGCAGTACCTGAATTTTAGGGCACGTCTCTGGTTGAAATGAATAGTCTTTGAAATGTTAGCTTTGCATTCATAAACATATAATAGAAAAGGCAAATGTTGGTCTGACACAGGTGACAGCAATTGCTGAAACGGACTCTGGATTCATTGTAAGACTGGATCGTTTAGGAGACAGAGATTTAGATGGTACAGTCTGCCATATTGAGTTGAACAAATAAAACCCTCTTAAAGGAAGAGCCAAAATCTTGATGGACTATTAAACAACAATATATCTTAATGAGCAGGCACCAATAACCTGCCAATGCTGGTTACAGCAATGATATGAAGACAATATAACCTCTAATCAGATGCTTCAAGGATAACTTCCAAAAACATGCCTGTAGGTGGAGGGAAATGGATTTTTAGTTCAAGTTGTACATCTTGAAATGTCTGCATTTGTAACATTTCTGACGCTAATAATTCTGAAACAACTTGCTTTGTGTTAACTTACTGAAGAATACATGTGGGGCAAAGGAATCACATTCTATAAAATCGAAAGATGGGTTACTAGGGAACACACAGACATACACAAATAGATTCTAATGTATGTAACTGAGCAATTAATACCTATAATTTACTTTCTTCCAAATAGGCTCATTCCATAGTCTCTGAAGCAGTTCATGCTGTTTTTTTTTTTTTCTGAGATGGAGTTTCGCTCTTGTTACCCAGGCTGGAGTGCAATGGCGTGATCTCGGCTCACCACAACCTCTGCCTCCTGGGTTCAGGCAATTCTCCTGCCTCAGACTCCTGAGTAGCTGGGATTACAGGTGTGCGCCACCATGCCCAGTTAATTTTTGTATTTGTAGTAGAGATGGGGTTTCACCATGTTGACCAGGATGGTCTCGATCTCTTGACCTCATGATCCAGCCGCCTTGGCCTCCCAAAGTGCTGGGATTACAGGCATGAGCCACCGCACCTGGCCCGAGTTCATGCTGTTGACTCTGGGCAATAACATCTCCCCACCCTGTATTGCCAGTAACTGGAGCAATATGAGGTAGGGAGAAGATGTCTCCATGACGTGCTCCTTCAAAAGCTCTGTGCTTCATCCATAGTCAACTGATAAACACTTTCTAATACCCAAAGCTAAAGGACTGTACTTGTTCTTTATGTCACTTATTTCTTTATAGCTTTCCTTATATGGCTTATTTTTCCATACTAATGTCGGAGGAACTAAAGTTCTTTGGGAAACTTCAAATGTTCACATCCTGCAGTGAACTCTATGAATAATTATCTCAGTGTAGCAAGGTCCTCCACTAGAAAGAGAATGAATCTTTTTGTCTGCTTTAGGGTAATTTACTAAGGGAAAAAGAAGACAATTCAAACTTCCATGAGCTGTGTTTTATAAAACATAAACTAAGCCATCAATGAAAGTCTTATAAATGTTAAGACTAAGGAAAATATCATGTATCAATATGTTCAACACATTTCTGCTGATTGAATAAGGCTTGGAGCATAATATTTCTGTTTTAAAGATTATACATATTCTTTCTTTGATCTATTTAATGTCAAATTTTTGTTCAATCACAAATCATAAGATTGTTCTTATCAGAAAATGTGGTATTTTATGATAATTCCTCTTATTTTCTATCCCTAGGCACTATACAGTAAAAATTCAGAACCACATGTATGTATACATTCTAGTAAATTTGGGGAGGGTCCAATTGCAGTAGGACCCCTTCTCTATCCTTCAAAATATGTGACTATGCAGATATACTCTCTGTGTGGGTAGGAGCAAGTGTAATAAATATTGCATGTTCTAGATATGCTGATTTTGTAGCTTACAGCAAATGCTTAACTGGCATGCATGAGACTGCCTTGTCATGGAGGCCTATATGTGTTAACCACAGGACAGTAGAGTGTGGAAAGGAGTTGGGAAGGAAAAGAATAATGGTAAAAACAAACATTATTTTATGTCATAGATTCTCAAATGCTTTTACATGATTTCATGTGCACATCAAACTTACCCTATGCAGTTGGTTTTGTTGTTCAGTAATTTTCAGTTGTGGAAATAAAACAGAGAGAGATTCTGTGACTTTCCAAGGCTATATAGGCTGTAGGTGGAAGAGCTGGATGTCCATCGTGGCTTCAGGACTGTACTGTTTAGAAAAACCACTGGTTCAGAAAATCCATGGTATGGTGAGCACTGAATTGTGTTCATTCAAGTCCCCAGTTGCAATGCACATAATTGAGTAAATATGTTTCAGAGTTTTCAGAACAGGATATCTGGGTGTGGCTTCATCATCCACAGTCCAGGTTTGAGGATGATACCAGAAAGAATCTTGCTTGTTTAATGACCTGGCAGCCAGAAAACATGTCACTAGCCCAGGAGTTGAGGAGGAAGAGTTACGGAGTGAGGAAGGAAAACTGGAAATGCCTCTGAAAGTCATTGTATTCTTATCAGAGGCTCAAACTCCCAAGTATTAACATTTTGGGTGGGATAATGTTTTGTGGGGAGCTACCCTGTGCCTTACCGTGTTGAGCACCATCCTTAGCCCCTATCCACTAAGTGCCAGTAACATTGTTCCTCCTCTTCCCCAGTTGCATCAGCCAGAAATGTCTCCAGGCATTGCCAAATGTCCCCCAAGGCACAAAACCACCCCTAGTTGAGAACCATTGTTTAAGGTGAATCAAAGTGAATTAAGTAACCCAGATTGTGTGCTTCAAGTTTACCTACTGCACATGGATTGCACATGGAAATGTTTTTTCCTCACATTGTTGTCAAGTATTTTTTAAAGCAATGAGAGAAACTTTCCAAATGTATGCTTATTGGACATCTTTCTACAGATGGTTGGCATTAGGGAAAATAAGAAGGGCCATTATGGTCTTAAGGAAAAAGACTTTGGGGGAAAATTCCAAATTCTTGAGATATTGGCGGCAGAATATTACCTGAGGCAGAAACTTCCAGAGTCTCCTGTTTTTACATCAGATGAGGCTGTTGGTAGGCATGGAAAATGGTGTAATCTTTTTGGAAGTCCATCCCGCCTTGACCCTGGTGTCAGGGGCACCTCCTCTAATGTATGGAAGAGACTCTACTGCATATCAGTCTCACTGGTACCAATCACAAAAGCCCAGAGCCACTCATTCCAAAGTTTCTGTTGTAACTGTCCCCTAGAAAAATAAAAATACCGCAAGCAATACGATTTTGAACCTCTTCTAAGGAGGTCATGAATGGAGACAACTTAATTTAAAGGGCAAGAGGCTTCTAATATTACAGCTTCTGAGTGTGGAAAGGGCACAAGGCTTAATGGAGAGATATAATATGCAATTAATGATTTGTTGGTGAAGGAATCCATCAGTGTAAAAATAAGGACAACAAATAAATAAGCCAAACAACTAGTATTTTGACCATTGTTTTATCCCAGTTTCAAAACTATCGTGTAGACCTAGAGAGCAATATGATGAGAGAGATAAATCCCTGCCTTGAGAGAACTTATCTGCAGGAACTTAGTGAATTTTTAATACGTGGATTAAAAACTCATGCTCAACAAGGTGAAATCATTATTGGCTGTTCTAGTGGGCATTTGCTTTTAAAATTAATTTTGGCTGACCAGCATGGAAATGCTCATCTTATGTTTTGGAAATCACCCTTCCAATGAGTCTTAGAAGGAGGCAGTCTTGGCTGTAACCACAGACCAAGCTCCGGCTCTTCAGGCATATCTCTGAGACCTAGCTTTCATCAGTGTGACGGGGCCCGCTGAGAACCCAGCCTGCCAGTGATGTGTGGGCTGTAAGAATCACATTCTGTGGGAGCAGCAGCTGGAGGAGGACTGAGTTTCTTAGGGTAGTTGGCCGTGTGCAGCATCTGGGACAAGGGCCGTTGGCAGAGGAAGGGACAAGGGTTCTACTGAGGGAATGTGTTCTCTTTCTGGGTCTATGAGGGGCGTAGTTTGAAGGGCAAGAACTTCCCGGCGCCATGCCCCCCTCCCATCTCTCTCCGTCAGGGAGATTTAACAGTTTAAGGCCCGGGCGCCGACGCGTGCGCGTGAAGAAACTTTTTTTTTTTTATAGAAGCACAAGTGCTGAGCTGTGAGCTCTGTTGTTCATTCAGGGCTGTTCGAAACTTAAGAGTCAATCACCCCAGCGGAAGTTTAAAGAAACTCCTTTCATTGGCCAGAGGAACTTGGGGAGGTGGGAATTTCTCCCAGGATAAATTCCCCTGCTCCTTCACCCACACCGGATTTCCAGCTCTCTGGAATCTTCTTCCACATGGTGGGAGCTCACTTTTCCCTCCTGGATTTCCCTTCTGGGGTCACACTTTCACACGCTCTTTGTGGAAGTTTTCTCTCTTCTCCTTTTTCTCTTTCTGTACCTAAATAAATCACTTTCTACAACGCTTTTGAGTCTGGCATTTACTTTTACGAGAGCACTGTGCTGTGGTCTCCTCTCCCATTCTTGGGGAGTGATAGACCAAGAATCTGGAGAAACGTCCTCTCAGGGAAGCTGAGGGCTCCCTTGACCTAAACCCCAACACTACTTAGTGATTTTGGGTGTTGTTATCAGCTGCACAGAACCCTGTCCGTTTTCCAGTCCTTTC